TTGACATTATTTAATGCAAACTGTAGCTGAATTGGGCGAAATTAAAAAAATCCACTCAATTCTTATGATTCGTTGTGACATAATGTCTGAGATATTCCTCTAACATTGCATTAACTCGCTCAATAAAAAAATTCAAACACTAGTATCTCGGGTTACTAGTATTATAAATTTGAGTTTTGAATTTTCACATTATAATATGTTTTAAAGTAATATCAACTTTAACAAACAAAAAATACTAATTAATCATTATTGTTGAATTAACATATATGTTCTTTTTACAGGCTCCTAGAGAAGTAATTTTTCCATACAAATATTCAAAATTTATGGAATGTCGAAATGATCCCACAATTGGTGTTAGTTTAGTGGCAAAACTTACTATAAAATAAGTTTCATTACCAATCTAACACGAATTGGATCCCTACATGAAATTTAAATGTATCACCCCAAAAAATGGAGAATGTAATAATGTGAGACTTTCAATATGTAAGAAAAAAAGTACAAATTTGAAGATCATGCAAGCAATATAATACTATTATTATTATGTTTGATATTTCATCTTCTAGAAGATTGACTTTGTTAATGTTTTGTTGTGTACAACAAAAGGGGCTATCTGTTACCAAGCCGATAACAGAAGAAGTCATAACTGATCTCTACATCAGTACTTTCCCCAAAATCTTATCCATTGCAGGCTTGGGTTGTTCCTCTGGTCCAAACACTTTGCTAGTGGTCTCTGAGCTCATCAAAACAGTTGAAAAACTACGTCAAAAAATGAGAAATCAATCACTGGAGTTTCAAATCTTCTTGAATGATCTTCCGGGGAACGATTTTAACACGATTTTTTGGTCGTTGCCAAGGTTCTAGGGACAACTGAGAGACCAGATGGGCCATGGATTGCGACCTTGTTTTTTCACTGGAGTCCCTAGTTCATTCTATGGTAGGATTTTTGCCACAGGAAGTTTGCATTTCGTCCATTCTTCTTGTAGTCTTCAATGGCTATCCCAGGTTAAAAAGAATAAGACATTTTGCTTTGCGTTATTTTTACTTTTTAGCACATTTATTGTGTCACAATATTTTAAGCCGTTAGGTTTAGTCAAAAGTGAATAAGATTGACATTAAAAAATTGTATCAGAGTCACTAACCCTCGTGGTGTGGATACCACATCCGATGAGATTGTGCAAGCTAGTGGAATAAGAGTCATCATCCAAAATCTAACGTCACCTTGGAACTGGTCACAAACTTTGGACCTTAGGGTGAATAGTAACCAATCTCAAATTAGACTTTATTCTAAAACTTTAGAAGTTTAACCAAAAATAAATAATATTATACCATGCGGGTCCGGTGTGTTCTAATTAAAGAATTTTTTTTCATTGTTTCTACTCTATTAACCGAGTGAAAACTATAAGATAAAAGGATTTTTACGGCGGTAAAGTGCTGTCATAAAAAGTCTATTTGCCGTCACAAATACTTTTTGTGGCGGCGTTGTGACGCTATTGCCTCGTCATAATAAGTGTAGTCTTAAAATTTTTTTATTGTAACAACGGTTTGTCTCAAATAGTATTTACGGCGGCAAAATCCAGTCGTAAATAAATTGTCATAAAAAATCCGATACTTTTGATTTTATAATGGCAGCAAAAGTGCTGCCTCAAATATCATATTTGGCTGTCGTAAAAAATATAAGATATATTTATGACGGCAACGAAGCAGTGAATTTTTTTTTTTTTTTGAATTATTATGGACCGTTCGTAACCAATATTATATACTCTGTGCATATATACACTCTATACAATTTTTTATTTTTTTTGGTGGGGGAGAGGATAAGGGGACTTGAACTCTTGATCTCAAGAAGACAAATCTTTCACAATGTAAGGAGTATCATTAGACCAAAGACTCATTCGTATTCATACAACTACCCAATTTAATATATATATATATATATATATATATATATATATATATATATATATATATATATATATATATAAACACAAAACTAAACATAATCAACATTTCTAAAAACTTAGCAATATTTTCATATCAAAAAAAAAACAATCTCACGAGTTAAACAAAATGTAAAATATGTACTTTTATAAAACATAACGATCTATTAGTACAAGAAATTAATGCAAAAAAGTTGAACATCCTTCCCGAACCATCTACTCTCTTAGTGACATCTGAAAAAATTATAAAATTATTGTTACAATACTGAAATAATATTTATATACATATATATAATAAATAACTAAAGAAGTTAGAATATACATCAATAGAGGGCCACACAATATTTCTCTGAACGGCTTGTTCAATTATTTAAATGGTATATAAACGAGTCATATCGTATACATTTCTTCTAACTGATTTCACAAATACCTGATTCGTTTATAATCGTATTGTGATGAGTCCATTCGTTTACTAAACAGGTGGTTTAAGGAATACTCAAATCCACTAATTTTATGTCGTGTTAACGGGTCGTGTCATATTTTGGCACCCCTAATTTTGATATAAAAACTTGACTTTGTAAAGTTTAATTTTTTTTTCTTTGAACTAGAAATTGTCTTTTGATGTTAAACTATGTAATTTTATAAAATATTACTTGTAACATGAAAAATAATTGTGATCAATACAAATTTTTTTTAGAGTTTTTCTTCTTTAAACTATAAAATATTTTTTAATTTAAAACAACATTTTAATGTTTTATGAAATATTATATACGATGAGAAAAGTAGTTGTCATAAATATAATTTTTTTTTTGAATTTATAAAATATTATTTAAGACATGAAAAACAGCTGTATCAAATACAAAAATTTCTTTTGAGTTTATGACACTATTTATGGCAGAAAAAATAGTTGTCACAAATATTAACACAAACACGCTTTTTGTGACGGTAAAAATAGTCACCACAAAAAATTGTCTCAAATACATCTTTTGTGACGGCAAACACAAAAGACCTTCATTCTTGTAGCGGAAATATCAAAACTTATGATTGTTGAACGGATGAATAAATATAATTTCAAGTTTTTTGTTTTATCAGGTTCTGAAGGGATAGAGAATAACAAAAGGAACATTTACATGGCAAGTACAAGCCCGCCAAGTGTGATAAAAGCATACTTTGAACAATTTCAAAGAGATTTCTCCTTGTTCCTAAAGTGTCGTTCCAAGGAACTAGTCACTGGAGGCCGAATGGTTCTAACTTTTCTTGGGAGGAAAAGTGAAGATCCCTCTAGCAAAGAGTGTTCAAAAGTTGCGAAGAAACATCGAAAAATAATTTTGTTCATTCAAAAAAATTGTTTTAATGATCAAAATATTGGGCTATAAAATTTTGTTCAAGACAAGTCAGAAAGCTTGTGAAATATACTCACAAGAAAGATAGATACTCAAGGGCATACATTGTCGAGTCTAGAATATAACATTCTCATAAACTTAATTAGCTAGTTTTGTAAATTTAACTAGTTTTTTTTTTGTCAAAAAAAGAGTTTTAATGTTCAAAATATTCAAATATGAAATATAGTTAATACATGTTAGAAAGCTACCGATTGTATAGGCATACAACAAATATTAAAGGGTACAAACTATCTAGTCTGGAATATAACGTTCTCATAACTCAAGAAACTAAGTACACATTTCACACTGAGGGTAAGATGCTTTTGTCTTCCATTAAAAAACATGGTTAGACCAAGATAAATAAGCTATTTACTACCGATCAAATAAAAAAAGAAGGGAAAAAAACCTAGACTCTCATAACTAGAGGTGTTAGACCCAACACTACGTACTCGAAATTAGGAGTTTTTTTTACATAAACTTTTAATAGACATGTTCTTGTTTTGATATAAAATAAAATGGGTTTAGATCCTCACAATTTTAAATTTTATCAATTTTAGTTGAGTTTTATCTTAAAATTTTCTCTATTGCACGTTTATAGGTCATATTGACATTCGATAAGATCCAATGAATTGAACGATGGGTGGTTGAACCATCACTGTGTATAACTAAACTTGAAAGAAATTGACAAAAAAAAAAAGTACTTGAAATTGGGAAGATCCAAATCCAAATCCAAATCGGATTTTACATAAAATTTAAATGACACAAATTTTGGACCTAAAAGAGTCTGAACATTTTTACTTCTGGGTTCTGAAAGGGTTTTTCATTTGGCTTATAGCGAACAAGGTTTGACCTGCCGGCCATTAGATGACAAGAATTACGTTGGCCAAGTTCTTTAGTGTGATAATTTATTGCCCGCCTCAAATTTGTATCCAAAATTTGCATTCCAAATTAATAAAGATAGTTGAATCAATAGGTTCCAATAACTTTTTTTTGATGAACCTACTCATCTAACCATCGAAAGCTGCTGAAATAAATCGAAAGACACCTGCAATAATCGAAAACTAGTTTTTTCCTTCCAAAAATGGTTTTAATGGTCAAAATAATTGCATAGAAAGTGTAATTTAATGCATATCATAGAGTTGTTCATAGTATATTCACAAGAGAGATACTCAAGGGTACAAATTATTGAGTCTAGAATATAAAATTCTCACAACCTTAACTAGTTTTTTATTTTATTTTTTCCGTCAAAAAATGTTTTATCGATCAAAATATTTAGGTATAAAATATAGTTCAAAGACATGTTACAAAGCTGTCTTAAGTGTACTCGCAAAAGACATACTAAGGGGTACAAACTATCTATGTAAGTACACATTTCACGCTAACGATAGGATGCTTTTGTCTTCCATTAAAAAAACATGGTTAGATGAAGACAACTGGACTATCTCATGACAATCAAAAAAAAGAAAAAAAGAAAACTACACTTTCATAATCCGAGGTGTTCGATACAACACTTCATACTCGCACTTGAGAGGTTTTTCTACGTACACTCTAATTGACCTATTCTTTGTTAATATGGATGAGGAAATTGAAAGTACGTGTACGTACTTTGTTCCCATCAAATTGAATCTTATTTATACTTCACATGCATAAAATCATGCACCTTCTAGTTATGTTAACATCAATGCGGGCCCTCGTGGAAGAAGAGAAACTTGATTCATTCAACATTCCTCAGTACACATCGTCCCCATCAGAAGTAAAATCTGAGGTCGAAATGGAAGGATATTTTGGAATCGACCGCCTTGAGGTTTTTGAAATCAACTGGAATGCCTACAACGATAAATCATCGGACTTCTATAAGGACGGTGCATACAATGTTGCAAAGTGCATGAGAGCTGTGGCTGAACCCTTGCTTCTCAGTCACTTTAGTGCAGCGATAATTGATGAGGTGTTCAGCAGGTACAGGAAGATTGTGGCTAATATAATGTCCAAAGAGAGAACTGAGTTCATCAATGTCACTGTTGCAATGACTAAAAAGGGGTGGTGATCATCAAAATAGCTTGTTTGTAATATTGTTTTTTTTTTGGGTGGAATCTCGACGGTGCGAGAGAGATTTTATTAATTAAAATTTAAAATTACACCCAACCAAGAGGAACGGATGTACTTTACCCTCGATGCAATCTAATTACATGCCAAAAACAAAACGAAAGAAGGCAAAAATGCAAGCTTATTACAAGCAACAGAAAAGTAAGAATAAAAGCGAAGCATATTGCCTAAGCTGCTGCAAGAATGAGCTGAGAGGATTCACTGAGCTGAGGACTGCAGTAATCTTGAAACCTAGGGCAGAGTCAACCATTAATGGCAACTGAGCTGAAGGCATATAAATGATGCAGCGCTGATGTGTTAAGTGCCAGCTGAAGGAAAGAGGCATATAAGGAAGCTAATGGGACGCTTGATAAGGAGGCGAATGAAGAGCCTAATAAGGAGACTGAAGCGTCTGATAAGAAGACTGAAAGGCGTCTGAGTAAGCCACTTTGGAACACCAAATGCTAATCAGATGGACAGACTCAGAACGATAATCAGAGAGAATCTCTGGAAACTCATTCGATGGTTCTGAGAAAATCCTTTGTTGCTTCAAACTAAGGAAGAAGATGAATACCCATTGAAGAAATTCCATCAGTTGAAGCAGAAAAGACAGAGAAGATTTTAACTGCTGCAACTTAAAGAAGATGATCCATAGCGAGAAGACTATGAAGGAAGAAGAAGATGAATATCCAGCGAATGAGGAAGCCTTAAAGCTTAAACTGCCATTCTGCAACTATCCCTTGCCATGGAGAAGATGAATATCCAGCAAATTGAAGGGGATTGCAGCTGTCAGAAGACCTGAAGCCTGGGCCTGAGAACAGTTCAAACCAAAGCTCCCCCGTCCTGATGCTCCGAAGAAACAAAGCAGAGTAATATTGAGATGGATGAGCCTCCTCCAAATGACAAAGTGATTCTGAATGCCTTTATGAGAACTCTTGATTAGTCCTGTTATATCCATTCTTGTATATGAAAAGTTTTCTCTAATTAAGAAAAGTGCCCAGTCCCCAGAATGTATATATATATATATATATATATTTTGCTTCCTAACACCAGTCCATTCGCCTGAATAAAGGTAGATGCTATAAAAGTTGTGACTTCAATCTTGAAGTTGTAGTCTTAGAACGCAGAGATCTAATCTGTCTCTGATCCTGCCATAGCAGTTGCTTGGTTTGGATCGGTAGTGTTGTAGAAGAGGAATAGGACACAGAAGTTCTGTTCTGAACACCTAGATTCGCCAATGAGTCTGCCACAGTATTTCCCTCTCTATATGAATGCTGGATTTGAAAGTCGAAATACTCAAGTAAAGAAAAGATTTGATAATAAATGTTCCAGTGTCTCCAACTAGGCAACTTCTTCTGTTTAACCATGTTAACTAAAACCTGAGAATCACTTTCAATAGTAAGTGGATAGACCTCCAAACTAAACTCTTTTAACAAACGCATACCATCAAGCAAAGATCTCATTTCAGCTTCCATATTAGTACAAACTCCATAGAAGAAGGATCCAACTAGAACCAGAATACCCCAATGATTTCTCAGAGCCACTCCTCCACCCGAAAGTCTTGGATTGCCCTTAGAGGCACCATCAATATTGAGTTTAAGATTTCCTTCAGGTGGTAATCCATTTCCTTCAGGTGATATTGTTCAATCTGTTGAACAATCTAAAGACATACAAGAGATAAGAAAGAGAGGAGACTAGGGTTTTATTAATACTGCATAATTTTAATTGAATACAAGGGAATAATTTAACCTAAATACAAAGAGACTATATATAAGCTAAACAAGGTAGAGAAAGTAAAAGACTATTCTACCCTTAATAAATAAAATAACCCTATATTTCTTAACATCTCCCCTCAAACTTACGATGTAGCAGCGACAAGCATCGAGAGTTTGTCAACTAGAAAACGAAACCGAGAAATAGAATGCGACTTGGTAAAGAAATCTGCAATCTGCAAAGAAGAAGAAACAAAGGGTAAAGTAATGGTGTCATACTTGAGATGATGACGAGTAAGGTGACAATCAATCTCAATGTGTTTAGTTCGTTCATGAAAAATCGAGTTGTGAGCAATCTGAATAGAACTCCGGTTGTCACAATACATAGGAGTGGGATGAGAAAGAGAAACTCCTATATCTGCAAGTAACCAACGTAACCAAACAATCTCTTTGGTAGTAGATATCATAGCACAATATTCTGTTTCGGTTTAAGATTGAGAAATAATAGATTGTTTCTTGCTCTTCCAAGAAATAATAGAATCACCCAAAAAGATACAGAAATCAGTAACAGATTTGCGATCTGTGGGATCACTGCCATGATTAGCATCAGAGTATGCTCATAGCTCCAAGGAAGAGGTGGATGGAAGTAAAAGGCTCTGAAAGACTGTACCCCGAAGATACCTCAAAATACGAAGAACCGCTGCCTAATGAATTGTAGTAGGAGAAGCAACAAACTGACTAACAACATGAACAACATATGCAATATCTGGACGAGTAATAGTGAGATATACCAAGCTCCCAACAATAGTACGGTATAAAATAGAATCTGACAAAAGTAAACCATCAGAAAAGGAATACTTTGCATTAACCTCAATAGGAGTATCTACAGTCTTATTATCAGTAAGTCTAGCTCGCTCAAGAATATCTGCAACATATTTCGACTGAAAAAGAAGATAACCTCTGGGTGAGCAGGCTACCTCAATACCCAAGAAATATCGTAGAGAACCCAAATCCTTCATTTCAAACTGTCTAGCCAACTCTGCCTTCAAAACTGAAATATCATTAATATCATCACCAGTAATAATTATGTCATCAACATATAATGACAGAATGATACGACCTGCATAGTGCACTTAACAAAAAGAGCAGAATCATGACTATTGAAGTAAACCCAAGGGAAGAGATCACAACAGAAAATTTCTCAAACCAAGTACGAGATACTTGTTTGAGACCATATAACGCTTTCTTAAGCTTGTAAACATACCCAGAATCATGTGAAACACCAAGAAAGGGGAGTCATATAAACTTCTTCTTGAAGATCCCCATTCAAGAAGACATTTTTAACATCAAGTTGAGAGATATGTCAATGACGAACCGAAGCAACTGCAATAAGAGTACGAATAGTAGTCATTTTTGCAACATGAGCAAATGTCTCCTCATAATCCATACCATACTGTTGAGAGTACCCTTTTGCAACCAACCTAGTTTTGTATCGCTCAACAGATCCATCAGAATTGTTCTTAATCTTATACATCCACCGACAACCAACAACACTCTTACCAGGAGGTAGAGGAACCAAATCCCAAGTACCTATCTTATGCAAAGCAGAAAGTTCCTCATCCATAGCTTGCTGCCAAAGAGGGTCAAAAATTGCCTCTTTATAGAAAGAGGGCTTAGAGAGACAATGAATAAAAGCTAAAAAGGAAGTAAAAGATGAAGAATAACAAGAATAAGTAAAATCTGGTAACTTTGTGGACTTACGAATGCGTGTGGATTGACAAAGAGGTGGATTCACAATCTCAGACGAAGCTTGAGGGACCATAGGAGAGGAGGTAGCTTCAGGTGTGCTAGAGAGTAAAGTGTTAGTACCTGTAGAATGATCAGTGTTGGTATTTGAAATATTAGAAACCTGAGATGACAAACTATCAGATTCATCAGAAAAAGGATCTATACGAATAAGATCAGATCTAGTCAAGCTATAAGTAGTGGATGGAATAGAAAAGAAAGGTATATGCTCAAGAAAAACAACATGACGAGACATATAAAGTTTTTGAGTTATTGGATCAAAACAACGATACCCCTTTTTACCTTCACCATATCCAAGAAAGACACAAATAGCAAATCGAGAGGACAGCTTGTTGCGTTCAACATGAGGACAAAGAACAAAACAAGTACAACCAAAAACTCTAAATGAAGAATAATCAGGGGCATACCCATACAACTTTTCGAAAGGAGAAACACCTGAAATATGAGAAGATGAAATTGTATTAATCAAACCTACAACAGTAAGAACAGCTTCACCCCAAAACTCACTAAGAACAGAAGAAGACAACAAGAGAGAACGAGCAGTTTCAACAATGTGTCTATGTTTTCTTTCAGTAACACCATTTTGCTCAAAAGTATCTGTACACGAAGTTTGGTGAATAGTTCCATCTAAGGCAAGCAACTCAACAAATATATTAGAAGTATATTCCCCACCCAAATCACACCTAAAATATTTGATAACAGCAGAATGTTGAGTTTTGACAAGAGCTTGAAAGACTGTATATATCTCAAAGAATTCAGAACGTTGTTTCATTAAATAAATCCAACAATAACGAGTATGATCATCAATAAAAGAAATATAATATCAAGACCCTCCTTTTGTGGTAACAGGAGAAGGTCCACATACATCAGAATGAATCAAATCAAATGAAGAAGAATAAACAGAAATACTTCGATTAAAAGGTAAAGCTGAAAATTTTGCCAGTTTACATCCACTACAATCAGAAATATCACAAATTTTCAAATTCCTAAAGCCCTTGTGGATGCCAAAAATCTCAAACGAAAAGACGAAACATGACCTAAACGAGAATCCATAAATAAAAGCTAGAAGAAGAAAGACTCAAACGAAAAGAAGATAAATCAATACTAGTAGCAGCAACAGTAACTGACACTTTTAATTCATCTAAAATATATAGTCCTCCCTTCCTACGGCCTGTCCCAATCAGCTTCTGAGACTACAGATCTTGCACATAACAAGAAGAAGAGGAAAATGTGACTAAATTTCCAGAATCACATAACTGACCAACAGAAGCAAGATTTAATGTGAGTTTTGGAATATGATAAACATTAGGGAGAGACAAGTGTGGTGTGACAACAGAACCAACGCCTGTTAAAGGCATAGGAGTGCCATCAACAGTCATAACAGGAATAGAAGATGAAGGAGATACAAAAGCAAAAGATGAAGAATCTGGAGACATATGATGTG